GCTATTGCTCCAGCCCCACATTCATCCTCTTAATGTAATCCTGCTAAAGCTAATGTTGGGATCCAAACTAGTTTAGTGCACATTGAAGCTTGGTTGAGAATTGTACTTAGGGGCTGGAGAGATATGGCATGGGTTAGGTATCAGCCTTGCATGTGGCCAATCCAGGTTCGATCCCCAGCACCTCATGTGGTCCCCCAAACCTCACCAGGACACCAGAAGAGGTCCCTGACTACTGCTGGGAGTGGTGCAAGAACTCCCTCAAACCCCACAAAAAAAATTTTTAAAAGAATTGGTTTTTGGACCATAGCCAGCTGAGCTAGGGATTGAACCTTGACCTTCTACATGCAAAGCATGTGCTCTAGTCAACTGAATCATTCCAAGCCCTGAAGATTGTAATTAGTCACTGAAATAGAACTTCCTTGTTCAGCTTGTTCAGTTGCAAAGTCTGAAGTCTCCACCAAATACCTCCTCTCTCCTCTTCACATGCTCATATCACCTGAACTGCTCACCCACACCCCCAGGCTTTTGGCTCATGGTTCACTCATCTTCGTGGGCTCCTGTTGCCAATAGGGAGGGTTTTTGTTGTTTGCAGAGTCAGGCATTGCACCCAGAGCCTCACACATACAAGGTGTGTGCTCTCTACTGAACGTCACCCCTGAGTTTTAGAGTTTGCATAACCCCATTTTCTGGAGCTGCTCCTTCAAAGCCTGGCTGAACACTCACTCTTTTCCAGACTTCCTTTACGCCTTCAAATACAAAATATCCTCTCCCTCAAAGCTATGTAGAAGCACTGAGTAATTTTTTTTGGGGGGGATGGGGGAGGGCTCCTAGCAGGCTGGATTGAATCCTATCAGGCTGGTCCTAATCCCCCTGTACTATCTCTCTGGCCTCATTTATATGTTTATTTATTTATTTGCCTTTTGGGTCACACCCAGCGATGCTCAGGGCTTTCTCCTGACTGTGCACTCAGGAACTACTCCTGGCAGTACTTGGGGGACCATATGGGATGCTGGGGATCGAACCCGGGTCGACCACGTGCAAGGCAAACGCCCTACCTGCTGTGCTATCGCTCTGGCCCTTCTCTGGCCCCTTATATTTATTTATTTTTTTTTTATTTTTGCTTTTTGGGTCACACCCGGCGATGCACAGGGGTTACTCCTGGATCTGCACTCAGGAATTATCCCTGACGGTGCTCAGGGGACCATATGGGATGCTGGGAATTGAACCTGGGTCGGCTGCATGCAAGGCAAACGCCCTACCTGCTGTGCTATCACTCCAGTCCCTGGCCCCTTTTAAAAAGCTCCTTTTAACCTTATATATCACTTGATCACTTGATCACTTGACTTCCCGTTAATCATCGATTTGCTCGAATGGGCGCCAGTAACGTCTCCATTCGTCCCTGTCGCATGCTAGTGTAGCCCAATGGCGTCTGTTCGCTCTAGGAACATAAAGAGCCTCAAACCGATCGTTCATGATCTTGATGAAGAAGTCTGACCATCTGGTAGGTGGGCGGCCACGCGGTCTTTTGACATCGCGTGGAATCCAGTCAGTAACAGCTCTAGTCCAGCGGTCGTCTTTAAATCTCATTACGTGACCAGCCCATCTGATTTTTGAGACTTTGGCAAATGAGACAGCGTCCCTGATTCTTTCCCCCCCCCCCTTTTTTTTTATTAGTGAAACACCACGAGGTACAGTTGTAGATTTACAATTTTTTGTGCTTGGGTTTCGATTATACAATTATCAGATACCCATCCCTCCACCAGTGCCCATCTTCCACCACCATGAATAATATCCCCCCACCCCCATCCCCCTATCCCCCCTGCCTCTGTGGCAGGGCAATCCCCTGTGTTCTCTCTCTCCTTTTGGGTGTTGTGGTCTGCAAAAGAGGCATTGAGTGGCAAATATGTTCAGTCCATAGTCTACTTTCGACATGCATCTCCCCTCCTGGGAGGATCCTCCAAACACCCTTTATTTGGTGCTCCCTTCTCTATCTGAACTGCCCTTTCCTCTAGGATACCCGGCTGGCCTCTAAGTTATGGAGTAATCCTCCTGGTGCTGATCTCAGCTATTCTTGGGTATTAATCTCATACTTTGTTACTTTATATCCCCCAGATGAATGCAATCTTTCTATGTCTATCCCTCTCTTTCTGACTCATTTCACTTAGCATGATACTTTCCATATTGTACCACTTGTATGTAAATTTCATGACTTCATCTTTTCTAACAGCTACATAGTACTCCATTGTGTAGATGTACCAAAGTTTCTTTAACCAGTCATCTGTTCTTGGGCATTCAGGTTTCTTCCAGTTTCTGGCTATTGTAAAGAGTGCTGCAATGAACAAACAAGTGCAGATGTCACTTCGACTATACATTTTTGCCTCTCTTGGATATATTCCTAGGAGTGGTATTGCTGGGTCAAATGGGAGCTCAATTTCTAATTTTTTGAGAATCGTCCATACTGTTTTCCAGAAGGGCTGAACCAGTCGACATTCCCACCAACAGTGAAGGAGTGTCCCTTTCTCGCCACATCCGCGCCAGCATCGGTTGCTTTTGCTCTTTTGAATGTGGGCCAGTCTCTGAGGTGTGAGATGGTATCTCATTGTGGTTTTGATCTGCATCTCCCTGATGATTAATGATGTAGAGCATTTTCTCATGTGCTTTTTTGCCATTCGGATTTCTTCTTTGAGAAAGTTTCTGTTCATTTCATTGCCCCATTTTTGGATGGGGTTGGATGTTTTCTTCTTGTGGAGTTTAACCAGTATTTTGTATATCCTTGGTATCAACCCCTAGTCAGATGTGTATTCGGTGAATATCCTTTCCCATTCTGTAGACTGTCTTTGTATTTTGGTCACTGTTTCTTTGGAGGTGCAGAAGCTTCTTAGTTTAAGATAGTCCCATTTATCTATCTCTGTTTTCACTTGCTTGGCCAGTGGTGTGGCATCTTTGAACATACCATTAGCCTCAATGTCATGGAGGGTTTTGCCAACTTTATCTTCAATGTACCTTATGGTTTCTGGTCTGATGTTGAGGTCTTTAATCCATTTTGATCTTACTTTTGTACATGGTGTTAGGCAGAGTTCTGAGCCCATTTTTTTGCATGTAGCCATCCAGTGATGCCAGCACAATTTATTAAAGAGGCTTTCCTTACTCCACTTCACATTACTTGCACCTTTATCAAAGATTAGATGATCATATGATTGAGGGGAGATGTCAGTGTATTCAACCCTGTTCCATTGGTCTGCAGTTCTGCCTTTGTTCCAGTACCATGCTGTTTTAATTATTACTGCTTTGTAGTACAGTTTGAAGTTCGGGAGGTTGATTCCTCCCATTTTCTTTTTCCCAAGAATTGCTTTAGCTATTCGTGTAGCGTCCCTGATTCTTGATCTTCGATGGATGTCGGAACTCCGGATTCTTTCTCTCATTTGAGTGAAACGTGATATTCCAAGCATAGCTCTTTCAATTCCTCTTTGGGAGACCCGAGTAGCATTCTCATCCTGTTTACGTAGGGCCCAGGTCTCTGAGGCATATGTTAATGCAGGAAGAACAGTGGAATCAAAGAGATGTGCCCGGAGCTGGAGGTTCTTTGTCCTCTTCGCTATTTCTTCAACACTCTTGAAGGCATTCCAAGCTGCTCTCTCCCTTCTGCGCAGCTTGGGTGCCAGGTAATTTGTCATGTTGACTTCTTGACCTAGGTACACATAGCTGTTGCATTCGGAGATGGTCATTCCGTTGAGAGCGAATGGGGCATCAGGAACGAGGCTGTTTCTCATAAAATATATATATATATATATATATATATATACATATTTGCTTTTTGGGTCACACCCGGCAATGCACAGGGGTTATTCCTGCCTCTGCACTCAGGAATTACTCCTGGCGGCGCTCAGGGGACCATATGGGATGCTGGGAATCGAACTCAGGTCTGCCGTGTGCAAGGCAAACGCCCTACCTGCTGTGCTATTGCTCCAGCCCCCTAACCTTATATATTTTTAACTTCTGAGTAACACCCTACAGTGCTCAGGAGTCGTTCCTAGTCATTCCTAGTGGTTCTTAGGACCATATGGTGTTCTGGGGATCTAAGCTGGCCAGTGCATGCAAGGCAAGCTTCTCAACCCTTCGGCCAAAACTTATTTATTTTACTGTTTTTATATATATTTATTTTTTATATATTATAAATATATAAGTATATTTTATATATCTATATATATTATCGTATGCCTGATCAGGTTTGCATCATATTCCACTGCTTTGAAACTATAGTCATTCTGAAACAGGTTCCAGATCTCAAAGAACTGCTGTTGCGTGTCTTAGAGTTGCACCTTCTTCTGGGCGGTGCTGGGGGCTCAGACTCTGGAAGGCCATCATCCATTTCTTTTAAATGCCCTGAAGACAAGTCCAAGGCCACCTCACTGTCCACTAATCTATGCCTCGCAAGCATAGGGTCTACTATATTGCTGGGCTCAGTCCATACAGATTTCACAAGAAATTGGGCGTGGGGGTCCTCTGAAGCGGTGTCCAGAGGGTGGGTTGTGCCACGCTAAATTTGACCTGCCTACCTACCATCCAGGCGGGGCGCGTCTGTGCTCCTTGGGGTCCTGTGGTGGCGGGTATGAAATAGGGTACTGCACATGCAAAGTTTGGGTCTGCCCACTGTCCTCTCCTCCCTAACCATTCCAATGAAAAGACTCTTAGCTACACCTCAAAGCAATTCCAGAGAGAAGTGATGAAATGAATGAATCCGTTCTCTCATGGATCAGTTCTGGACCACCCATCAGCTCTGGACCACACTTCTCTGAGGTCCCTTTACAACCGCCGGAGGCGGGGCGTGGCGTAAAAAAACCCCGCCCACAAGAAGGTGGAGTCACCGCGACTTACGCCCACAAGGAGGCGGGGAGATGGCTATTCCCGCCCATGTGGAGGCGGAGCTCTAGAGACTTCCGCCCCCACGGAGGTGCGGTGCAGCGGAGGTCACGCCCATCCGGGGCGGGGCCTACGGAGCGCGGGAAACTGTACGCGGCGGCAGGAGCGGGCGGTGCGGGTGATCGGCCGCGGCTCTGCAGGTTCTGCCTCCTGGGCGCGGGACCCGTCGTCTCCCCGGGGCTCTCCGGGTAAGACTGCTCGTGGCGAGAGGCCGTCGCTGCGGGCGGGGACCTGGGGTGGCTCCGGGGCGGCGCGCGTTCCGAGGCCGGTGCCCGCCGCAGGACCCGGCCCCGTGCGGCCTCCCCTCCCGGGTCGTCCTGCTTCCGGGGCCGAGCTCGGGGACGCGGGAGCCGCGGCCCTGACCACCCCCCCCCCCGCCCCTGGGCAGTGCCCCCGTCGTGTCCCCTGGACCCGTGCCGTGACCCCTCCCCGCCCGGTGCACCCGCGCCCCATCCCCTAAGCGGGTCTGGGTGTTCCCAGCGGCCTTTGGGGAACTAAACCTGTCTTCTTAATTCGTTTTTTTTTAACCACACCCGGCTTGTTCCTGGCTCTGCACACAGGAATCACTCCTGGCGGTGCTTGGTGCTCAGGACCCACGTTAACTTTCTTGTTCCTCCTTGCATCTCCCACCCCATCCCCTTCTGTTTGTTGTTATTGTGATGCCTGGGGGGGGTCAGACACACACCCACCCCAAGTGTAAAGTGCTTGCAGGAGCACATCTGGTTGACCTGCTTATCTGGGAGTTTGGGCCACACACTCAGGGCTCACTCCTTGCTTGCTGCTCAGCCATCACTCCTGGCATCCCTGTGTGGTACCAGGAATGGGACCTGAACAGTGGCATACATAGCCAAGTCTCCCGACCCATCTGTCCAGCTCCACCTTGGGTATCTTTCATGCCTGGTGGGGTTGTATGTTTGTGTGTGTGTGGGGGGGGGGGGGCGCCTTTAAACAGTCACCAGACTTACCTGCAGCAAAGTTAATTTAACTCCCTCCCCCCTTTGTAGGTTTCTTCTAACTTTGGAAAAAGAAGGGCTCCTGGGCTTTTGTTTTTTGGCCCCCACAGCCCCTCCGTGCCCAGGATGAAAGTCATCACCTGTGAGATCGCCTGGCACAATAAGGAGCCCATCTACAGCCTGGACTTCCAACATGAAACAGCCGGGACGATCCACCGCCTGGCCTCAGCCGGGGTCGACAGCACCGTGAGGGTAAAGTGGGGGCTAGGGCCAGAGGAAGGCCTGGAAGCTGCTTTCCCTTTCCCCGATTTCAAACTGGGCCAGAGACAGAGAGTGCTCTGGGCTGAGCACAGACTTTGCGTGCAGGAGGCCTGGGTCCCGTCCCCAGCACTGTGCCTGTTCTCCTGAGCATTGCTGGAATCATTGCTGATCACTGTTGTGGGGTGGAGTTTGCTCCCCTAAAGTACACACTGAGCATTTTTTTTTTTTTGGCTTTTTGGGTCATACTCAGTGATGCACAGGGGTTACTCCTGGCTCTGCACTCAGGAATCACTCCTGGCGGTGCTCAGGGGATCATATGGGATGCTGGAAATCGAACCCGGGCCAGGCGCATGCAAGGCAAACGCCCTACCCGCTGTGCTATCGCTCCAGCTCCCCACACTGAGCTTTCTACCAAAAATAAAGCAAGCTCATGTCAATAGCAATTGCAATATTGCAGAAAGAAAGAGAGAAATAGAAAGTGCAGTGTGAATCTCAGCAACTCAAACCAGAATAAATCCCCTGCCTGCCATGAAAGCAGCAGAGAGCTGGCAAGGGGTCAGTGCTCCCGAGACTGATGGAACCAGGGGCGCGTTTACCCAGACTCCTGGGCTAGGTTCCTACTGGGAAACAGTTTGCCCCAGTAAGAGGGTGGGGGGAGGTCGACCTCAGCTGGGAATCGGTCTATGTTTCGGACAGAAGTTATTTCCTTCGTTTTCATTCCAGAAGGAAAGCCAGTCTTTCTTCCGGAAACTGCCCAGCGCTGTTTTGGTAGTGCTGACCGAATGTGTTTCTGTTGTGGCACTCACAGATCTGGAAGGTCGAGAAAGGGCCCGACGGGAAGGCCATTGTGGAATTTCTCTCCAATCTCGCCCGCCACACCAAAGCCGTCAATGTGGTGCGCTTCTCTCCAAATGGGGACATTCTCGCCTCGGGGGGCGACGGTGAGTATTTGTGGCCTTTCCTTAAGATTCCTTGTGTCCCCCGAGGAAAGTGCACTTCAGGGCTGGAGAGAAAGCTCAGTGGGCTGAGCATGTGCTTCGCATGTCGGAGGCCCCGGTTGGGTCCCTGACACTGCATGAATCCCTCCTGAGAAGAGCTGGGAGGAGCCCCTACTCCTGCTGGGCTTGACCCCTCTCCCTCCAGGAAAAAACAAACAAACAAAAAGGGCTGGAGAGATAGAGATAGAGTAGCAGGTAGGGCATGCCGCTGACCTGGGTTCAATCCCTGGCACTGTGTGTGTGTGTGTGTGTGTGTGTGTGTGTGTGTGTGTGTGTGTGTATGTGTGTGATCCCTAGTACCTTTGTGTGTATTTCTGTGTGTGCAATCCCTAATGCCTCTGTGTCTGTGTGTGTGTGTGTATGTGATCCCTAGTACCTTTGTGTGTATTTGTGTGTGTGCAATCCCTAGTGCCTCTGTGTGTGTGTGTGTGTGTGTGTGTGTGTGTGTGTGTGTGTGTGTGTGTGTTTTGGGGGTTTGGGAGGAGTCAGAGGATCCTGACCACGGGCTGGGGTATCTGCTGCATCTGCATTGCTACCAACCTGCACTCACATGTCCCCTGTGCCACGTGCTGAGACTGGGTACCTCCTGCCTCTTGGCCCAGCGTTCCTGCAGTCCCCGGGAATGTGCTGCCCACCCAGCATCAAGACCAAATGACCCCACTTGCCCGTCCTGGAAGTCACTTTCCTTCTCCGCCAGTCAGAGGGAAAACTAGATTTGTGCATGCAGTGGCTTGGCCGGCCTGGGCACTCTCCCGTGGGATGTGACTTAGCGGGTGCCAACTGGGCTGCAGACCTGACTTCCTATCCCGATGCTCAGAAGTCAGGGGTGGCCCTGGGGCCTCCAGCCCCGCCTGAACTCCAAGTGGCGCCTCGACTCTCCCCGGCTGGCCGCTTTCCCCCCCGCAGATGCCGTCATCTTGCTGTGGAAGCTGAACGACAGCAAAGAGCCAGACCAGGTTGCCTTCCCGGATGACGACGACGCCCAACTCAACAAGGAGAACTGGACAGTGATAAAAACCCTGAGGTATGGGGCTGGGAGCAGGGCCTTCACGGGGTACAGCAGCAGCAGTCTTAGGGGACAACAATGGCTGGCATGCATGAGTTGCTGAGTGCTTCTGGGCACCACTGCGCTGTGGGTCCCTGGCGAGTGAGTGTCATCTGCAGTCTAGCGAGTGCTGCCCATCATGGCGACATGACGGAAAAGGGAAAGGAAAGCAAAACACGGGGCTGGAGAGAGAGGACAGCGGGGACGGTGCCTTTTTTTAAAAAAAAAAAAAAACATAACTGTGAGGGGCTGAAGAGACAGTATAATGCATAGGGGCCGCTTGCCTTGCACAAGGTTGACCAGGGTTGACTCCCCGGCAGCCCGTGTGGTCCGTGAGCCCCTCCAGGAGTGACCCCTGAGCACATAACTAGGAGTAATCCCTGGACACTGCCAGGTTTGACTCTCCCCCCCCCCCCGCCCAAAATACCCAAAAAACAGAATTACCCTTCGAGACACAATATCGGGGGGGGGGGCAGTAGGACTCTCTGTGCCCCCCTCCATTGTACAGTCTTCTTCTGGAGCACGTTTCTCTTCCTGAGGCTGGATTTCCCCCCCCTCCCCCCCACACACATACATACACATTTGCCGTTTTCTCTTTGGATTCCAGGGGCCACTTAGAGGACGTCTGTGACATATGCTGGGCCGCAGACGGCAACTTAATGGCCTCAGCCTCTGTGGACAACACGGCCATCGTCTGGGACATCAGCAAAGGTAGCGCGCAGTGGCGGTTCTCCGAGGACCGTGACCTGAAACCCTTGGGTCACACCTTTGTATGCTTTCCATAGGACAGAAGATCTCCATCTTCAACGAACATAAAAGTTACGTCCAGGGAGTGGCCTGGGACCCTCTGGGCCAGTACATCGCCACCCTGAGCTGTGACAGGTACATCTGCATTTGCTTAATGTGTCCCGCCTGGGTGTTTGGGTCCCAGCTCTGCCACTATAGCCGGCATCTCGGTTCAAGTCTCCCATTCTCGGTTTCCTGTGGAGCGTTTTGTTTCCCTGTTACTCTCAAGCATGAGGAGACTTAATACTCGGTGACATTGAAAGAGTGGATAATTTAGAGGACAGGCTTTTGATTCTGAGTATCTTGGGAGACTTTTGAGGAAAAAAGTCATAAATATGACAGACAGAAGTACCTCATGGGGGCACTGGACTTCCATTTTTGTATTAGGTAGTTTAATGCTACAGTGATTTTTATCAACCTGTACCATTCAATACAGTGATTTCTATCAACTCCTTTTAAGTGGGTATAAAGAGAAGATTGTCTTCTTTTCAGGATCGAATCATTGCTGTGTGTATAGTGGAATTGCATTCAGTTGTGTTGCTGAATTTTGTTTTTTGGTTTTTTTTTTGGGGGGGTCACACCTGGCGATGCACAGGGGTTACTCCTGGCTCTGCACTCAGGAATTATCCTTGGTGGTGCTCAGGGGACCATATGGGATGCTGGGAATCGAACCTCGGTTGGCTTTGTGCAAGGCAAACGCCCTACCCGCTGTGCTATTGCTCCAGCTTGGGACAGAGAATTTTTTAAAGCCGCTGGTGCCAGGCATATTTCTCATCCACCCGAAGAGTCCTCTTGGAGACTCGGCTGCCTTTAATTATAGATCTCATCTCAGCTGGGCCTGCAGCATGGAAGAGTCCAGTTTCCTTTCCACGGTTCTTCTGCTCCCTTCTGGAGCTGTTTGATTTCTGATCCACGTTTCCCATCCAGGCAGCTGGGATGAGGTGGCAAAATAGGTGGCCTATTACAGAGTTCCCAAACCCTGCACACATGTGTGCACATGGACATGTGTGGAGTGCATATGCATGTGTTGTGCTTGGTGCATGTGTATGCATGCATTTGTGTATATGTGTGGTGTGCACATGTGTGCTTGTGTGTGGGTGCATGTGTGTGCACACGTGTGTGTGTGTGTACATGGATGTGTGTAGAGTGTGTACGTACATGCTTGTGCATTTGCGCAGGCATGTGTGTATTGTGTATGTGTGTGCGTGCATGTGTATGTGCGTGCAGATGCATATAAAGGTGTTTCCCTTATTCTTGCAAATTCTGCGGGTGAGATGACCAGTGCCAGCCCACAGGCCTGCACCATCCCAGACTCCCGCCTAAATGTCAGGCCAGGCCCAGGGTACCTGTTGGGTGAGAAGCAGGAAGGTCCTGTAGAGAATGAACTCGGGAGGCAAGTTCACCTCACACTAGGCTGTGCTTAGCAGTGAGATACTCTTAGACGGTCATCTGTTGGGGGAATAGATGGTTTGTTTATTTTGATTTTCAGGCCACAATAGCTGGTGCTCAAGGGTTACTCCTGGCTCTGCCCTTAGGAATCACTCCTGGTGGGGCTCAGGGGACTAGGTGGGTGCTGGGGATCAAACCTGGGTGCCAGGCAAGTGCCCTACCCCTGCTGTATTGTGGCGCCAGCCCCGGGAATAGATTGGTATCTGAGGGAAGACATAAGCCAGTCCTTCTTTCTTTCTGTAGGATCCTGAGGGTGTACAGCACCCAGAAGAAGCGTGTGGCTTTCAACGTTTCCAAGATGCTGTCTGGAATAGGGGCTGAAGGAGAGGTACCAAATATTGGTTGCGCCGTTCTGGTCCGGGCCTGGGGAAGACTCGGGAGGTGGGACACCCCCAGGTCTTGCAGCCCAACCCCTGGTCCCAAGGACCCTGCCCCTGGCCCAGATAAGGGTAGTCAGGGCTCAGTGTGCGTGTTGGGGGCCGGGTGTACAGGGCTGTGTAGAGTGAGGATAGGTGCAGGGCTGGGGCGAGCTGGTGGTGGGAAGGAGTGCTTTGTGGCCCTGGCTGCGTTACGGGACCATGAGAAGCACATCAATATGGGTCCTGAGCTCACCCCAGAGATTCTGCTTTCCTTGGCTGGGGACGGGGGAAGAGGGAGCCCCCTCAGGATCCTAGGGTGTAGTGTGCTGGCCGTGGTGACCAGAGTGAGAGGAGAGTGATCTCTGGTAGCCAGTGGCTGGGACGCAGGCCACGGAGTGGGATTTTGCTCCTGGGAGCAATAGGCATGTGACTCTAGGACCCTAGTGCTTGTGGGGGTGTGGGGGGGTCAGGCTGGCCAGCGCAGGGCCTTGAGCTGGGAGGGAGCATGCTAGGGTCAGGGGTCAGGGGACACACACAGCCATGGGTGGGCAGGCACGCCCGGGCCCAGTCGGCAGAGCTGGTCTGGACATGGAGCTGATGCGGGGCTCTGAGGTCTTGGGGATGAAAAAGGTCTTGGGAATGACATGCTAAGCATTTGCCAAGTGTCAGTTCGCCTGCCAAAGCTGTCCCACACACTCGCTCAAGAAGAGTCGCGAGGGTGCGTCTCCCCTTCCTTCATTTGGTTGTGCCTGGTGGTGGACCTGCCCAGCGGGAAACCTGGACCCGCTTCTGGAGACACTCGGCCAACTGGCTCAGGATTCAGTGCTCGGGCTGGGTGATACAGATGCCCTCTGGGCTCAGTGGTGCGGGGGATCACTGCGGCCACACCCAGCAGTGCTCAGGGGACCAGGCCATGCCCAGCACCAAAACTGGGGCCTGGCGCAGGCAGGGGACGCACCTGAGCCATGTCCCCTGCCCTCTTTCCCTGTAAAGGGCATCCACGGGGCTGGTGGGATAATCTAGGCCGGGCTGATGCGAGCATGCTGGAGGCCCCAGCACCTCCGGAACAACCTCGAGCCCCCCAGTAGTAATAAAATAAGCAAAGGTGCCCTCCGGTAAAGAGTTCTGAAGTTTGCTCAGGAGACAGGCAGGACCCCTGGGCTGCGGCTGCTGCTTCCCGGTCAGTGGTACCCAGGCCACTGCGGACGTGCGGGCATGGGTGGCCCCCAGTGTATGCTGAAGGAACTGTAGAAAACCAGTTCACCAGCACAGACTTTCCAGACGGGGCCCCTGGCGCCCTGAGCATGCTGTGTTTACAAGGTGGCAGGGTTCAGCTGCCGCTGGGTCAGTGTCAGTGAGGAGCCAAACGGGGCCTGGAGAGGCGCCAGGCTGCGGGTTCCTGTGGCATGTGTGTGCACGTGCAAGTGTGTGTTGGTGCATGTGTGTGCATGTGTACATGTATGCTCGTGTGTGTGTGCATGTATGTGCACACATGTGTGCACACGGATATGTGTGGAGTGCATATGCATGTGTTGTGCTTGGTGCATGTGTATGCATGCATTTGTGTATATGTGTGGTGTGCACATGTGTGCTTGTGTGTGGGTGCGTGTGTGTGCACACATGTGTGCATGTATACATGGATGTGTGTAGAGTGTGCATGTACATGCGTGTGCATTTGTGCAGGCATGTGTGTATTGTGTATGTGTGCGCATGCATGTGTATGTGCGTGCAGATGCATGTGTGTGCATGTGAATGTACATGTGTGTGGGTACATGTGGACGTGCATGTGTGTATGATTATGCATGTGTGTACACGTGTGCCTATGCGTGTGGGTGCATGTGTGATTATGCATGTGTGTGCTCATGTAGGTGGGTGCATGTGTGATTGTGTGTATGCATGCATGTATGTGTGCATGTGTACGTGTGTGCTCATGCATGTGAGTGCCTGTGTCTGCATGCTCAGACCGTGCTGACCTCTGCCTCTTCCACAGGCCCGCACTTACCGCATGTTCCACGACGACAGCATGAAGTCTTTCTTCCGCCGCCTCAGCTTCACGCCTGATGGGACGTTGCTCCTTGCACCAGGTGCGTCTGCCAGGCTCGGGGTGTGGGGGCCGCTGGGGGGCTCCAGGTGTTGAGAGGCTGCGACTCTGCTCCCTCCATGTCCCCCCTGGGGCCTCAGAGGCCTATGCAGGCCAGCCCGAGAGGCCGCTGGGTCACGAGGTGCGGCCTGGCTTGTGGATATATTTTTCCCTCTTTTTGTTTCTATTTTTCTTTTTATAATTTTTTGTGTTTTGTGTCCAACCCGGCATTGTTCAGGACTTGCTCGTGGCTCTTCACTCAGGGATCAGTCCTGGCGGTGCTCAGGGACTCATGTGGTACAGGGATCGAACCCTGGTTGGCCACAAACAAGGCAAGTTGCCCTACCTGGTGTACTATCGCTCCAGCCACTTCCCTCTTTTTAAAAAAATTTTTTTATTTGGGGGTTTGGGCCACACTCAGTGGTGCTCAGGCCTTATTCCCAGCTCTGCCCAGGGATCACTCCTGGCAGTGCTCCAGGGATGCTGTAGGGTACTGGGGATCGAATCCAGGTTGATTGCATGCAAGGTAGGCACCTTCCCCTTTATATACTCTCTCTGGCCCAGAGTTTAAAAAAAAAAGTAAAGGCCCTCCCGCTGATCATCGATTTGCTCGAGCGGGCCCAGTAACGTCTCCATTGGAGACTTTGTTGTTACTGTGTCTGGCATATCGAATACGTCACGGGGGGCTTGCCAGGCTCTGCCGTGCGGGCGAGATACTCTCGGTAGCTTGGCGGGCTCTCCGAGAGGGGCGGAAGAATCGAACTTGGGTCGGCCATGTTGGCTGCATGCAAGGCAAACGCCCTACCACTATGCTATTGCTCCAGCCCACGGCGGTAGGGCGTTTGCCTTGCACGCAGCCAACATGGCCCAGAGTTTGGAGTTTAAAAAAGTTGTCCCCAGGATTGTGCGGGAGCCGCTGTGGACTAGAGGGCGCTCTTTTCCCCACCGGGCGCCCAGGACTGTGGAGGCGCTGCCCTGCTGCTGGCTCCTGCCACTCGGTGAATTCTCTTCCTAACGCAGCCCTGCTCTGTCCGCTGAGTGAGGTCGCTGCCTTGCACATGCTCACTGCCCGTTCCGTGTCCAGATGGTGCCGGAGCATGTGTGTGTATGGATCAGGCTTTACAAAGTTGATGTCCACGTTGCCACACTGGTGGCTCACACCGGATGTGACTTGGTAAACATGAATTCCCGCCCTGTCGTCAACATGTTAAAAATAGTCGGGGGGTGGGGGGGCGGCAGGGCAGAGCCATAGTACAGGGGAGAAGGGTGCTTCTCTTGGTTCGATTCCCAACATCCCATCCAGAGCACTGCCAGGAGTGAACTCTGAACAGAGTCAGGAATAAGTCCTGAGCACTGCCAGGTGTGACCCCAAAACAAATAAAAACAACCAGGTGGGCATTTGGGGACATCACTGGCTTCCAGGTTCTCGGGACCTAGAACGAGGAGTTGCAGAAATGTATTCAAGTTTGCTAAACTCCAAACGTTTCATTAAAATCAAGTAGCAGGCACACTGGCCGAGGGACTGGTGGTGCATTGCATGCCTAAAGCCGTGATTCCAGGCCTGTGGTAAAGACCTGTTCCTGCGGAAACTAATTGATTGGCTGGAGAGATAGTACAGAGGGTATGGTGCTTTCCTTCCACACAGCCGACCCAGGTTCTATTCCCGGCACCACCTCAGGTCCCTCAAACCCCACCAGGAGTAAGCTCTGAGCACTATTTACCCCCACCCCCGAGAAACCAAATTAGTTGGAAAAAAATCAACTCCAGATGGGTGTCTGCCCTCACCATTCTCTGTGGTAGTAACGACTGCCAGAAAATGGAACTTGGAACCAGACGCGGGCAGAGCCAAGTGTGCCCATATCCTGCTGGCCACACCCTGGGGTGAGCGTAGCAACGCCCCCCTGGAGTGGGGGGGGGGGGCAGCTGGAGACCACTGAGGGCCTGTGGGCATGGCCCAGTGTCAGCATGCATAGATTCTGGCTAACGAGTCCAGAATCCGGAGTGGTCATGGTGCTTTCCGGCAGAGACTGGCCGGAGCCTCGGGCAGAGAGCTCCTGTTTTGGCCTCCCCCTGAGCTCAGCCAGGAAGAGGCGGTGGGATCTGGAGGGGGTATGCAGCTGAACCCCTCACGGGCAGGGTCAAGTCCCACTCCAGCCGGGGAGGGAGCATTGCTTTGCTCCATCGCGACTGTGTGCTCAGAGGTGGTCGGTAGGGAAGCAGTGACCGGGTTAATGAAGCCGTGCGTGTCCTTACAGCTGGCTGTGTGGAGTCCGGGGAGAACGTCACCAACACGACGTATGTGTTCTCTAGGAAGAACCTCCGAAGGTAGGCCCCCCCTCTCCCACCCCGGGAGTGGGCTCGCCTGGTGATTTGTTGCTTTTGGGCAGAAACTGCCCTTCCCTGCAGCCAATTCATCTCCTAGGCCTATCGCCCATCTCCCGTGTCCTGGGAAAGCCACGCTGGCCGTCCGCTGCTGTCCCGTCTACTTTGAGCGGAGACCTGGGCCTGAAGCAGGTGATGATGCTGGTCAGACACTGGGTGGGGTGGGGGGGGGGGGCTGTGCGTGGCCTGCTCATTACAGCCACTCTTCTTTCTGGTGGTTTGTTTGGAGGCCACACCTGGTGGTGCCCAGGGCACTGGGTCTTGGGGATCAAACCTGGGCTTCTCACATGCATGGCCTGTGCTCACCCCTTTGAGTTACCTCCCCAGTCCTTAAAGCAACTTGAAATCCATGCACCAGTGGATGGTATTATTAGTGCTATATGCTGTAAAATCTAGGTATAAATCGAATTGGGCCACACCTCACCATGCAGGGGTCCCTGAGCACTGCTGGCAGTGATCTGGAGCCAGGAGTAGCCCCCAAAGATTGCCAGATGTAGTCTAAAAGTACTCCCCCTCCCCACAATAGTAGTAAATGAATGGAATTCCCGTGGGAGCGGTCAGCAGGGTCACTTTTGATAACCCATGTTGGGTGAACTCCGCAAAGGGCCTGGGGGGGTGGGGGTGGGGCGGTAGGGTGTCTGCTTATTCCCTTAGGCCTGTTTTCACTTTCTTACCTGTGTCTCCGCAGAGAGGCTGTCAGGGGAGCGGGGACCTGAGCTGGTGGCCTTGCCCTATCGCCTGGTGTTTGCAGTGGCTACCGAAGACTCCGTGCTCCTCTACGACACCCAGCAGCCCTTCCCTTTCGGCTATGTGTCCAACATTCACTACCATACGCTGAGTGATGTGTCCTGGTGAGTGATGGTCCTGGGGGGTGGGGCTGCTGGGAGGGAGGGGCGGGGCCATCGAAAGGGCAAGGCCATGGAGGGGCGGGGCTGCACTGGGTCCCACGTTGGCGGCTAATGGGGCAGAGTGAACCCCGTTTGCTCACTGACCAAAGGACAACCCAATGTCTCCGTAGGGTCGGTGGTTTATTCTCATGAGCTGAGGGTCACCCTCGACCTCCCTGGCTATTTGGGGCCCTCCCGGATCTTCCAGGAGGAAATCTTCTGGCATCACCATCCCCGGACCCGCTGCCCGGGGTGGGGCCAGCACTCAGAGCTGTGCACAGGTCCTGGGGTATCCCTCTGCCACCCAGCAGCCAGCTTGCCCTCTCTGCTCTGGGCCCTAGAACATTCGCCTCACCCCCTCACACAGTGACAACCCTGGGGGCTGTGGGTCTTAGGCCAGCATTTGTGACCCTTGTGGGACCTTAGGATATTCCAAGGGTGCAAAAATGGAGGACCATGAAATGAGACTAGGGGAACCAACTCTCAGGAGGGGGTGCACAGGAAGGAAGCAAGATCGGAATTGGGCTCGTTGGGAAGAGGTTGAGAAATACTTGTAGGTAATGAGACGGGTGGGGCGGTGGCGGAGCAGGGCTGAGTAGTCCCTTTGTCTCATCTTTCCCTGGACTTTTGCCTCCAGATAAGCCTGGAATTTTGCTTGAACCCCCATTTTATTTGTGTTTGGGGGCCCACGACCTGCTGGCGCTCAGAGTTTACTCCTGGCTCTTCTTCACTCAGGGCTCACTTGGGTGGTACTCAGACCATGTGGGGTGTCGGGGATCTGACCCAGGTTGGCCGAATGCAGCGCAAGTTTTCTACCCGCTGTGCCATCTCTCTAGCCCTCAGCCTCCCTCTTAAAATTAACTGATTAACTAATCAGTTAATTTTTGGGGTTTGGAGCCGTATCCAGCAGTGCTCATGATTTACTTTTGGCTCTGCGCTTAGGGATCATTTCTGGCGAGTTCGGGGATCCATGTGGGGTACAGGTCAGCACGTGCAAAGCCAGTGTCTTACGCATCCTTATCTCTGGCCCCAGCACCCTCGTTTTCTAACGAGGAGTGAGTGTGGTCTCCCAGACCTGGGTGCAAGTGTGACGTCCCTTGGTTTGGGAACTAGGTCTGGCGACGGGGCCTTCCTGGCCATCTCCTCCACGGACGGCTACTGTTCCTTCGTCACCTTCGAGAAGGACGAGCTGGGGATCCCTCTGAAAGAGAAGCCAGTCCTGAGCGTGGGGACTCCCGAGACAGCCAAGAAAGCCAAGAGCCAGACGCCCCAGGCGTCTTCCCCGGGACCCAGGCCGGGAGAGGGGACCCCCGGCGGCAGAAGCCAAGACCCCGGCAGCCTCTGCACGACCACCCCGCAGACGAAACCATCTTTAGCCCCGGCAGTGACCAAGGATATTCCCGCCACTGGCCCGGGTGCCAAGAGCTCCCTGTCCGGGCCCTCGGAGGAGAAGGTCTTGCGGCCCAGTGGTCAGCAGGCGAAAGGCCAGCCTCCACGGAGGGTCACTCTGAACACACTGCAGGCCTGGAGCAAGCCCACGCCCCGGTAAGCGTGGGCACCCCTAACCCTCCTGGGTGAGATCTTGCCTTGCTCTCTCGTCTGGGGGGTTCCTGTTTCTGGGTGTGCACACAGCCTCTCTCCCCGCCACTCTCTGCACCCCGTGTGCCTGCGTCCCTACACCAAGCAGAAATGGGGTCCTGGCGGCAGGCGCTGCCCTTTGAGGCCCCTGTGCCTTGCTCCCCCTCGGGGGTCGCTCCCAGGGGCCCAGGACACCTCCTCAGAGACACACCCATCACACTGAGAAGCAGGGCGGTCTGTCCAGACAGTAGCACACACAGACCCTGACCGTGGTGGGAAGGTCCCTGTCTGGACCTGACCGTGGTGGGAAGTGTCCTTTCAGAACCCGGGTTTCAGAATGGGGAGATGGACAGTGCTGGGGGGCACCCTGGCGGGGCCGCCTACCCTCCTCACTGTTCCTGCTTATATAAGCGAGGGACCGCTTGGGTACTTTGGCTCCTGGCTTGTGCCCTGTGAGCAGCTGGGAACCGTGGCCCTTGCTCCAGGCACCCTGGAAGCTGGGCGGCACGCAGGAGCAGCTCAGAGATAACCGAGCCCCCCACGCCCTGCCCCCTTAACTGTTTCCTCTTCCTTATCCAGGAGAATCAACTTAGTGCCCTTGAAGACGGACACACCACAGGAGGCTACGCCACAGGAACCTACGCCACAGGAGCCTGCACCGGCAGGTGCCCCAGATACCCCCTGCACAGAGACAGCACAGCCAGGTAACACACACACACACATACACACAGAGACACATACACAGAGACACACACAGATACCTATAGACACACACAGATACACACAGAGACATACACAGATGCACAGAGATACACACACATATACACATACAGAGACACACACAGATACACAGACACACACAGTGACAGATACATAGACAAAGTGACACACAGAGGTACAAAGACTCAGCAACACACACAGAGAAACACAGACACACACACCATAGACACACTCGCAGAGACAGAAATACCCACACACACAGACATACAGACACGCACACACAGAGATATACATACACGCAAACACACACACACACACACACACACACGTGTCATGTGATGGGCCGGGGCTGGTCTTCCTGAGAGTTCGTGGTGAGGAGTCTCGCTGGGTCTCAGGGCCACCCCCAGCTGCCCCTGGACAGGGTATAGACCAGGACATTCATCCTGGGGAGGGGGTGGCGCACTGGTCAGCCCTTGGGGTGAGCTGTCCTGAGTGTGGGGAATGTTTAGCAGCACTTCTGGGGTCACCCCCAAACACACACACATGCACACGCACACACACACACGCACACACTCACATACACTTACACACACACACACACTCACACAGGGGATATCTGGGGCACCCGCCAGTGCAGGCACACATACACTCACACACACACACACACACTCATACACACACTCACACACACACATGCACACGCACACACACACAGACATACATAGACACACACAGATACACACAGAGACAGACACACAGAGATACACACACATATACACATACAGAGACACACACAGATAGACACACACAGTGACAGATACATAGACATAATGACACACAGAGGTATAAAGACACAGCAACACACAGAGAAACAGACACACACACCACAGACACACTCGCAGAGACAGAAATACCCACACACAGAGACATACAGACACGCACACACAGAGATACACACACACACATACACACACACATGTGTCATGTGATGGGCCGGGGCTGATCTTCTTGAGAGTTCGTGGTGAGGAGTCTCGCTGGGGCTCAGGGCCACCCCCAGCTGCCCCTGGACAGGGTATAGACCAGGACACTCATCCTGGGGAGGGGGTGGTGCACTGGTCAGCCCTTGGGGTGAGCTGTCCTGAGTGTGGGGAATGTTTAGCAGCACTTCTGGGGTCACCCCCAGACACACACACATGCACACGCACACACACACATGCACACACTCACATACACTTACACACACACACACACTCACACAGGGGGTATCTGGGGCACCCGCCGGTACAGGCAGACATATACTCACACACACGCACACACACACACTCTCACACGCACACTCATACACACACACACACACACACACACACACACACACACACACACACACACACACCACTGGCCCAGAGCACCGCACAGGCCTTCCCCTGGCAGCTTTCCTGGGTCAGCCCCAGCCCCGCCGCCTCCCTCACGGGCGCCCGGTGCCCCTGCAGAGCCGCCGCAGGACAGCTGTCCCGAGCAGAAGCGGCCCCGCCTGGAGGAGGAGCACAGCGAAGCGACCAGCCCCGTCCCGGACCCCTGAGGAGCCCAGGACCAGTGGCCCGCACGGAGCCGGGGCTCGGACCCACATTGGAATCCACAGAACCTTCCGGTGCCGATGCAGCCGTGGACCCCGAGACTCCCGCATGGCCACCTCTGGGGCCTGTGCAGTTTGTGAACTCGGAGCAGAGCAGAGAAGGGGCTGGCCGTGGGCACGTCCCCCTGCCCGGCACCCTGCAGCAGACCGACCTGTGTTCCTTTCCTGCGGGGAGAGAATTGAGATGTTCCTTTAGCTGAGACTTGATGTCCAAACAGGTTTATTGGTTTTTACATAAGGTTTTGTGAAGCACCCCCCCCCCCAAAAAAAAAGCTAAGAAACGAAGTACCTCTCAGCACCCCATATCTCTGCCATTGCGCTCCCGGCTGAGGAGCACTAGAAGGGGTCCCACTCTGCTCCCCCTTGAGTCTCGCTGGAGCCCTGGGGTGGGGGTACAGGAACCGCACCCCACACCCTTCCAGCAGCTTCTGAGAGGGCAGTGCTGGCTCCATCCACACCCGGCTGCCCGAGCCAGTGCACGTCCTTAGGGTTTCTTTCCTTCCTGAGCACTGAGCTGGGAGCAGTCCTGAAACATCACACACACACGCACCTATGCAAAGCCTCTCTCCACTTAGATGACCTGCGCGGGCCTATTTTCCCATGCGGGGGTAGAAGGTGGACCCACATTGTAGCACCAGGCGGGTGAGGGCAGTTTCCCAGCATCCACTGCCCACCCCCAGCACCACAGAACAAGGATGAGTCACATAGGAGCTTTTATTTATTTATTTTTTTAGTGTGTTGCGGGGGGAGAGCAGAGGGTCACACCCAGCGATGCTCAGGACTCACTCCTGACTCTACACTCAAGAATCACTGCTGGGGGCTGGAGCGATAGCACAGCGGGTAGGACGTTTGCCTTGCACGCAGCTGACCCAGTTTTGATTCCCAGCATCCCATATGGTCCCCTGAGCACCGCCAGGAGTAATTCCTGATTGCATGGACCAGGAGTAACCCTGTGCATTGCCAGGTGTGACCCAAAAAGAAAAAAAAAAGAATCAATCCTGGAGTTGCTCAGGGGACCCTATGGGATGCTGGGGATCGAACCCGGGTCAGCCATGTGCAAGTCCAGTGCCTTCCCCGCTATGTTGTGGCTCTAGCCAGACAGAGCCTGACCCAACCAGAACCCAAGACCCAGCCTGAGTCTGAGGCCCTGCCGGGCTGGTGAGCGCATGGTGCCGTGTTTTGAGGGCTTCCTGCCACCTCAGTACTTCTCTCTGGGTGACAGCCAAGTGCACCTCCTAAACTGAAGACTCAGTTTGGTCCTGCGCATGGTGCCGTGTTTTGAGGGCTTCCTGCCACCTCAGTACTTCTCTCTGGGTGACAGCCAAGTGCACCTCCTAAACTGAAGACTCAGTTTGGTCCTGACGGTGGCGCCGTTGGCTCTTCAGGAAATACCCGAGAATTGTCGGTGCCTGTGCGGGAGAGACCTGGACGGGTGGGCAGCAATAGTGGGGTGAGGGTGGGGGGACATACGGCAGATACAGCCCCTTGGGGGCACGGGGCGGGGAGAGGGAGCAACTGCTCGGGTGCTGGGCGGGGCTCATGTTGGTGCACCCCCACCCCAGCTGGGCTGAGTGGGCACTGGTCAGCCTCCTCCACTGTCACCCCTTCCTGAGCAGTGGCCAGAGCAAGGACAGGAGTCCTTGGTGGTATGGGCAATCCAGGAACAGGGGACAGGGGCAGGGTTGTACCCATCTCAATCCACTTCCCTGGGGCTTGGCAGCAGCTACCTCAGTGGCTGCCAAGGGCAGCGTAGCAATCGCTTTGTGCTGTCTGGGCGGGTTCTGTCACCACTGCCCTTCCTGGTCCTCACCGAGCTTGTGCACTTCCTGGCCACACCGCATCCTTCCGCCAAACCAAGATTCCCGGACCCTGGCATGGGGATGTCCGATGGGGGTGAACAGCCCCTCTGCCGAAAGGGACCCCAGGGAGACCTGACTTGCACTCCCCTTCGCCGGGCGTCCACCCACTCTGGAGGCCACTGCCCGCTGGGTCCAGGCAGCGGCCAGCCATGCTACCTGGGTTTGGAGGCGCTGACCGGCCACTCCTCCCAGAGCCGGGGCAGAGGGCTGAGGTGGCCCTCGCCCGCTCAGGCTCCAGCTGCATCAAGGCTCACCGGATGGTCTGCCCTGCGGATGCTGTGGATGCTGTCTGCCCTGCGTCCGCTCAGCCATGAGGACACTGTGGGAGGTAGGGAGGGAGCAGGTGAGGGGCCAGACAGCCGTGGGGCTGCCCAGGATTGGGGAGCAGCAAAGGGGGAAGGAAGAAACTAAGCCGGGTTCTCCAGGAACCACATCCCCCTCAGCCAGGGGGTTCAGGCATTCTCTGTGCTGGGGGGACGGGTGCCTTGGGGGCCCCTGCTCTCCTGAATAGTAGCAATAGGCAGCCGCCCACCCCTTCCATGGTGTGAAGCCCCTCGCGGCAGAGGGTTTGCAGAGGGTTTATTGGTTACTCACTGGGCTTGTTTTATGCTCGTCTGCCTGTCAGCAGCTACTTCACAACTGGAGTTGTTTTTTGGGAGAGGGGGATAGTGGAGGTTGGGTCATACTCAGTGGTACTTGGGGCTCGCTCAGGAGTGACCCCTGGCACTGCTCTGTGAACCATACCAGGCGCTAGGGCTGGAACCCGGGTCTACAGAATGCAAGTCAGTCACCTTCATCCCGTACTGTCTGTCCGACCTTCACCTGTCCCCGTCACACTCTTCAGGTCAGTATGTGTCTGAATCAGTTCACTCTCCTGTCTGCCGCAGACCATGTCCTGAACATTCCCAGTGCCTGCCTTTGGGAGGGGGTCAAGCGCTGACCATCACCCTTTCCCCACCACTCCCTCCCCCAACTCCTCCTCCCCACCAGGACCTGGTACAGACAACACCAGAGGTCCTGGGGGTCATTTTTTTAAATTTTATTTTTACAAAGTTGTTCACAAAAATGTTCGGAGAGCCCGGCAAGCTACCGAGAGTATTGGATATGCCAGACACAGTAACAACAAAGTCTCCAATGGAGACGTTACTGGGCCCGCTCGAGCAAATCGACGATCAACGGGAGGGCCTTTACCTTTTACCTTTTCACAAAAATGTATTGCATTCAGTATTCCAGCACCAATCCCACCACCATTACACTTTCCCACTACCATTATTTCAAACTTTCCCACTGCCACCCAAGCCTGCTCCCAAAGCAGGTCCTAAATAATTTATTTTGTATTGCTTGTTATGAATCACGATCACGATCATCCTGTTGTTCGTCGATTGTTACCTCGAGCAGGCACCAGTAACGTCTCTTTCGTCCTAGCCCTGAGATTTAAAAAAGTGCCATATTCGAGGCTCTTTCAGGGTTAGGAGAATGAGACCCATCATTGTTACTGGTATTTGGCATATTGGGTACACCATGGGGAATTTGCCAGACTCTGCCGTGTGGGCAGGTTATATTCAGTAGCCTGCCAGGTTGTCCAAAGTAAGAATGTGCTGGAGCGATAGCACAGCGGTAAGGTGTTTGCCTTGCACGCAGCCAGCCCGGCCGAGCCGGGTTCGATTCCTCTGCATCTCTTGGAGAGCCCGGAAAGCCACCGAGTATCTCGCCCGCACGGCAAAGCCTGGCAAGCTACCTGTGACGTATTCAATATACCAAACACAGTAACAACAAGTCTCAAAATGGAGACGTTACTGGGCCCACTCGAGCAAATCGATGAACAACAGGAGGACATTTGAATCACTATGTTATGAATAATCCGCTAAAAATGATCTGAAAAAATTTCCTTAGAGAAGTGTGAAGATTGTTGTATCTCACCCTGGAGCCATTAAGCTCTTGTATGAGAGATTACTAACAGTTGTTACAGGTTAAGCTTTGTGTGTTTATGTATATATCTATATATATTTATATATTTTTTGTCCGAGATCAGTTGCCTTCTACTTTACATCCTGTCTAGTGTGGTGTGCTACTCTTGGTACATTAGTGGTGTAGAGTATGAGATGTCATGGCCGCATGCTCCAGGAATTCCAAAATTTTAAATAGAGTGATAACAACTCGAGTTAAAAAACTGGATGGTGACTTTGGGATCCGGAGGCATTTCTGCAGCTTGTTGATCTTTTCTGAGATTTGTTTCTAAGTCTCTGGATCATAGGCATTGATGAGCTTATAATGGTGGCATAGGCAGTTCGTGGGGCATGACTGTCAGGTTCCTTGAAGAATAGGGAGATGGGTGGAGGTTGCCCATTCCCGACTCCCTGATTTCCTGAGGCCAGACTTTTTTTTTTCTTTTTGGGTCACACCTGGAAATGCACAGGGGTTACTCCTGGCGGTGCTCAGGGGACCATATGGGATGCTGGGAATCGAACCCGGGTTGGCCGCGTGCAAGGCAAATGCCCTGCATGCTGTGCTATCACTCCAGACCGGCCAGACTTCTTAAACCAACTGAAGTCTGCCCTGGACTTGTACAGGCCCAGGAAGTAGCTGCTACAGGTGAGTGACCCAGTCAGGTACCAGCACTTAGGGGTGCCCCAGGCTGCAGTGGGCCGGCTGTGAACTGCCCCTTAGACAGCAGGAACCCGCAGATCCTGGGAATGCAGGTCAGCAGGGCAGAAGACCCTTCAAGCCCCCCTCCATGAGGAGGCAGCAGCACAAAACACAGTCGCACAGCTTCCAGGTCACTGCCCTGAGCCCTGACAGTACCTTACGGAGCTGTCAGGTGGGTGCTGGGCCTGGAGCTGGGGATTCCCACACACACTGCAGCCCCCCACACCCCCAGAACTAGTTCTGAGCAAACCACCTGAGCAAACCACTGGCAGTGATTGCTAATCCTCAGTAGTGGCTTTTTTTTCTCCTCCCAGTTTTTTTGTTTTGTTTTGTTTTGGGGGACCATACCCAGCAATGCTCAGGCACTCAGGGATCACTTCTGGCAGTGCTCGAAACTGAGGCACAGAACTTCTGGGGTGCTGAGAGTTCAAACCCGGTCAG